ATTTAATTTTCTAATAAACAATGTTAAAAATAAGGTATTACATTTTACAAATAATCGAACGTAGCTTATAAAACCATATTATTATTTATGTAATAACTATTAGGTTTGTCACTCATTTATACACCATAAAAATTAATTAGTTTTACCACATAAAAACTTAATATTATTATCTTATTTACCACTGCGTATGAGTTTAAGCAGTAAGTATTGTACGTAAAAGACTTTGCTTTCATGCCATGCTTACGCATTCGCACAGTTGTAAAAACCCCGCTACGGGTACAAGTTAGCCCGAAATCCTATCCGCCGAAAGTGTGTTAACATAACCTCAAAATTGGAACATAAAGAGTTGAAATTACTTGGCTGCCTTTTGTTAAATATAGTGATAGAATATTAGTTCTTGGTTCTCATATATTATAACCAGCTATAAACCTCACGGAGCCCCAGACCTTTCCAACGAATGCAAAATCGTCGAATTCGGTTCGTGCATTCTGGAGTTATATCGTCAGAAATAAAAACCCGACTTATTTTTATGTAATAGATATATATATATATATATATAATATATATATATATATATATATATATATAAAAAGTTATGTTAATTACTCCACTTATAACTCAATAAGGCTGAACCGATTTAACTGAAAATTGGCTTTGGTAAAGTTGGTAAAAGTTGGTAGTTCAGAGCCAGGCGAAGGACATAGGATACTTTTTATCCCGTTCAACTTGGAATAACAAAACGCAAATGACAGCTATGTAATCACGTATGGATGACAATTTGATATTTGTAGGGAATCAATAATATAATTATTTATTTTAAATAATTAACAATTATAATATAATGATAGTGCCATTGCTCATTCGTATAAACAGTGAAGCGAACTATAAAACTCAGTATGGTTGACAAATCATATTTTTCTCAAACACGGTGCTCTGAAAGATCTCATTTGTATAATTATATACTTATTGGTATTTATAAAATATTTTCTAGGTTATAATATTTTTTATTTATGTTATTTAAATTCAGAACCTAAATTTGGAATCGATCAAAGGTACATTTTGTCGAATGACTTATTCCCAGTTATAATGTCTCGAATTTATCGAAGAATGGATAGTAATATATAAAGATCTACGACCAAAGTGTCAAAAACCAGTAAAGCTAAGCATTGTTTAACAACACTATTTGAAAGTAAAGGGAAAAAGATGTATAACCAGCTATAACCTTGATTCTTATGACTTTGGTATTGGGAGATAAATGGTAATCTTTGAAAACCCATAATAAAAGTATTTTCTTCCGTTGTTAGTTTTTTAGCAATTAGTTAAAAATGTAATTATTTTGTAAAATACTTTTGAAATTAAAATATGACATTAGACCTGTTTGCCATCTGGCCATTCCAAGTAACCCTGTTATAGGGTAAAAAGGTCTAGATAAAATTTTTAAAGACAGCAAAAAAAACAAAATTATGATGTAGCTGGTAGTTTTACTGAACGTAGTCAGATAATTGTTCGTTTGAAATGTGTCATTTGTTGTGATATAATTGGTTTGATTTTCATAATAAAATTTATATTTGCTTAAAGTCAAATTACATATATACTTTTTATTAAATTTACTTTAATTCGTCGAATGTTACTTGAAACTTTTCAAAAAGCAGGTCAAAGAAGAAATACTTAATTCATTTTCTATCTCTTCTCGCAGAAATTTGAAAACTTTGTATAAGCTCAGTAGTATTATTTACAATTATACACAAAATCCAGAATCCATAAAAAATTTTGAAAAATTCGAAACACAATCAATAATCGATTAAATGGAATTTGTAATGACTATATAAGTCGAAAGACCAAAAAAGACTTGGAATGGATTATGCCATGTTTTCTATAGAAAGTGTATAAAACTTTCAGTTTGGTTGTATCAATAAAATATAGACAAACTAATGGGGTTTATTGTTTCTATAATACCTCATTGTATATAGCATTCAAACAACACATCCTTACACAAAAAGTATTATTTTTTTTTTTGATTCTCTAGAAATTGTTTATAAAATACCTTACTTAGCAAAACTACGTTTGCCGGGTCAGCTATATTGTATAAAACGCACAACACAATCGAACGATATGGAAAATTGAGAAAAATGATACTCCCGCTTTGAAGCTATAACTAAACGAACGCAACCAACATGAAAGAGATGAAAGATTGAAATTTTAGAGTTAGATGAGACTTACCAACCTGCTACACAACATGAAATCGGCTCACTAGCGCCAAATCCTCACCTAGGTTTCGTTACTTTGAGCACGGTTTGCGAACGCGGGTTTTACACTGAGATACAAGGGCCTGTCGACAACCATCGCTGAACTTTTCCAGGTAGATTATTTAAATCCTTATCATTTGAAAAATAAGATTATATATTATATATATATATATATATATATATATATATCAATTTAATTATTGTATTCACAATTTTCTTACAATGTAAACATGCATATATATTCGCTTAACAAAAAATTGTTTGCCAATTGTTTAGCATTCTTCCGGTCCCTGACAATAAAATTTCAACGTCTTTTGTGACAACAGTGGTCAGTATAATTTTGATAGCTGCCATTAAATTGATTTCTTTCTCAATCTTGCTTTTGAACATTGATACCTTAAATGCAAATTATAATTTAATTTTGTTACAAACTAGTCAAATGAATTGAAAAAATATGACTTACCAAAGTTATTTTATGCATGTGCCTCTTTGATAATATTTTCAAAGGCTAGGTATTCCTCATATGATTTCATTGGCATCCTATGATTTAACAAAATTTGTGGTTCATCGAGCTCTTTTCTAGGCGTGTCATGTTTCTTATTTGTTTGATGAACTATGTTATCTAGCTCTTTTACAAACTTATCTACAAACATATGAATTTACAGCGGTGTGAATAGAATTGTTAAGGAATATTTTTTATTTACCTGTTTTATCAGTGTTGTATAAATTGCCTTGCAGCGGAGTTTTAATACGAGAAAAACACTTTAAGTCCTTATAGACTAATTACAGACTTGATTAACTTTAGTTTACAGTAGAATATTGGAGTAGAAAATTATGTAGCAATTTTATTAAATTGACCGAGCGTGGCCGATGCTGCTGTAGAGAGACTGAATTTATCTTATATGCGCGTCTTAGGGTGCGTTCGACTTGGACGCTTACGCGCTCTGAGCGCGCCGTGAGCGCATTTTCATCGTTCGACTTGGCGCTGTGAGTGTCACATAAGTACGCTCGTAGCATGTTCGTAGCACATATTTTGCGCTCTCGTAGCACATATTTTGCGCTCATACGTGCTCACGCCACGGAGGTAAGGCAATTGAAAGTGTCATGGTCGTTTATCAAAACGAATGCATGGAAAGCATAATCTAACCCTAATTTCATTTATTCATAGTTCAATTCTTAGTTCAATAATTACGCAAAAATGGCGAGCTATGCATTATAATTATTTTTTAATATTAATATTAATATTAATTAATTTTAAATTAATTAATTTTAAATAATTTTAAATTTTAATCTTAATATTACTATTAATTAAGCATAAGTTAACCAAATTTCATTTATTTATTAATTGGTAAATTCTTTATAATCTCGCAAAAATGCCAAGTTGTATATCACAATTATTTTTTAATATCAATATTAATATTAATTAAATTTAAATAATTTTAAATTTTAATTTTAATATTAATATTAATTAAGCATAAGCAAACCAAATTTCATTTATTTATTAATTGTTAAATTCTTTATAATCCCGCTGAATGATCCAGAAAGTAATAAAATTTACACAATTACCGTTACCGCCAGTTGCCGCCATTTTGATGCTTATTGACGCTCGCAGTATCCAAAACGAACGGAATTTAGTTATCGATTCTAAGCGCTTATCGGCCAAGTCGAACGCTCAAAATTTGTGCTTATAAGCGTGAGCGCTCACAGCGCGTAAGCGTTCAAGTCGAACGCACCCTTAAAAGGAGAACCCGCGCATTGCTCGTCTCGGATTTTGATGAAATTTGGCACAATGGTAGATTTTATGCCCAAACTGACCCTGGTAAAATATTAGAGGCCTATGAAAAGCGGTTTAATTATAAAAATTCACATCTAGTTAATATATGCAAATAAATTACATTTTTTCTTCCTTGTTATTGCTGTTTTTTTTTTATAAAATTATTATGTTTCAGGTATTACATCAATTTTATACAGACGCTACAGAGTATTTTACTATAGAATATTTAGCGAAAAATATAAAATTAATTAAAAACTCAAGAAAACTTTAATATTATTTACTCATGCAAATATAAATTTGAATTAAAAATAATAAAAAAAAATTATCATGAGTGGGATTCGATCCTCCGACGATACGCATACGCATATCAAATGCCAGATGTATACAAAGAATGAGAAAAATATAGAAACTATAAAATATACAATAAAATGAATATGAAAAACATTGAGAATAATTAAATTTTGTAAGTACAAAGCAAAATATAAATATAAGTAAGTAATTTACAGCAAAATGTATTGAAAAAAATTAATATTAAGCCCGGTGCACACGACGTCAGTATTTCTAGAAATATAATTTCTGTCTGTAATTTAAATTCTGGCGTGCAAGAATTTGGCGCCTGAATTTCATGCTGTAACATATATGTCTAAATTATTGCATGCGCTATAACCTCAAATGTCAAAATGTCTGACAACGATCGTGTCGAAAGGACTGTAGTTCTTGTCAGTTCTTTAATAATTTTAAAAAAAAGAAGAAAAGGAAAGACGTAAACGGCTATGGAGTCGTTCTTGGTTGCTGCGGCGTGACCAGCAAACTACTTCCTTAAATATGGTTTTTAATGAACTAGAGTGAGTGAATTTTAATTAGTGAAAGTTGATAAAACGTAATGTTATTGTTATATTTAATGTTTTTAGTGCAGAAGATCCGGCCAGTTTCTCAAATTACACGCGATTGAAAATGGTATTTGGAATGATTTGTTGGAAATGGTAGCACCATATATAAAGAAAGAGGATACAGTTATGAGGCAAGCTATATCACCGAGAGACAGGCTTTGTATTACAATTAGAGACATTAGTTATTCAACTCGTGTTGCACCTAATACCATATCCCAAATCGTGAGAGAAACTCTTGAAGCAATTGTAACCGTTCTTCAAGATAACTTTATAAAATTTCCATCTTCAGCACAAGAGTGGGAATCTGTTGCCCACAAATTTGAGACAACATGGAGTTTTCCTCATTGCATAGGGGCATTGGATGGAAAGCATATCAGATTTTGTCCATCACGAAGTGATGGTTCGAAATTCTGAAATTATAAAGGATATGACAGTATAGTACTCTTAGCTCTTGCCGATGCAGATTATAAATTTTGGTTTGTTGATGTGGGAAGAAACGGCCGTATGCATGATTCAACCGTCTTTCATACAAGTCTATTAGGCATAAAAATGGATAACAATTCTCTCAATTTGCCTTCTCCTTGCGAGTTAGAATCCTATAACACTAAAATCCCTTATGTGATGATGCCTTCAGCTTAAAAAGAAATTTATTGAAACCATATCCGAATCGAGGTCTCACAATGGAGAAAAGAATTTACAACTATAGATTGAGCCGAGCTCGTAGAGTAGTTGAAAATGCTTTTGGTATACTTGTCAACAGATGGAGAATATCGCAAACCACTATACCCCTAGATGTCAAAAAAGTTGAGACTATAACATACACGTGCATATTATTGCACAATTATGTGTTATCAAAAGCTAATGCTCATCAGTGGTATGTGAGAGATGAATATCGAAATGTTAATGATTGTGTTATGAACGATTTAGAAACACAGCTACCCACATCTCAGCAAAACTTAGAGCAGAGGTCTAATCGATGCAGCAATGATGCTTTAGAAATTCGTGACAAATTCTGCGATTATTTTAATACAGTAGGAATTGTTCCCTTCCAATATTCTGCTATTGAAAGAGGGCAATAATTAATAAATTCTGTAAAGGCAAATGTTTATATAAATGATAGAATTGTATTAATAACTATGTTATTAATAATAATGTTATTATTTCTATATTAATTTTCAATAGTGTTTTAATGAGTGGTGAAAATGAAATACTTTATATTCAGATTCATTTTTATTTATAAACTAGCTGACCCGGCAAACGTTGTTTCGCTAAGTTAGGTATATTCTAAACGATTTCTAAAGAATCAAAAATATTAATCCTTTAATTGTATAAGGATGTGTTGTTTGAATGCTATATACAATGAGGTATTATCAAAACAATAAACCCCATTAGTTTGTCTATATTTTGTCAATACAATCAATTTGGAAGTTCTATACACTTTCTATAAAAAACATGGTATAATCCAATCCAAGTCTTTTTTACTCTTTCGACTTATTGATTACGTTTCAAGTTTTTCAGATTCTTTTTGGATTCTGTATTTTGTATATAATTGTAAATAATACTACTGTGCTTATACAAAATTTTCAAATTTCTGCGAGGAGAGATAGAAAATGAATTAAGTATTTCTCTTTGACCTGCTTTTTGAGAAGTTTCAAGTAACATTTGATGAATTAAAGTATATTTAATAAAAAGTATATATGTAGAGCAGGGAGAGGCACAAAGGTCCACTTTGACTTCGAGCAAATATAAACTATATAGTGAAAACCAAAACAATTATATCACAACAAATAACGCATTTCAAACGAACAATTATCTGACTACGTTCAGTAAAACTGCCAGCTACATCATTATTGTAGAAATGTGCTTTTTTGCTGTTTTCCAAAAATTTGTTATCTAGACCTTTTTATCCTATATGCGGGGTAACTTGTAACGGGCAGGTGGCAAAAGGTTTAAAGACTTATTATAATTTTAAAGGTATTCTACAAAATAACTACATTTTTAACTAATGCTAAAACTATCAACGGAAGAAAATACTTTTATTATGGATTTTCAAAGATTACCGTTTGGCTATACATCTTTTTTCCTCTACTTTCAAATATTGTTATTAAACAATGCTTAACTTTACTGATTTTTGGCACATCGGTGGTGGATCTTTTTAATCCCGGATCTTCATATATTAATATCTATTCTGCGATAAATTCTGGGAAATTATAACTGGAAAATGTTATTCGACAAAATGTCCATTTGATCGATACCAAATTTAGGTTCTGAATTTAAATAACATAAATAAAAAATAATATAACCTAGAAAATGTTTTATAAATACCAATGAGTATATAGTTATACAAATGAGATCTTTCAGAGCAACGTGTTTGAGAAAAATATGCCAAAAAGTGCATTTTCATATTTACATATCAAAAAAGTTTATATTTTGAGTCTCTAGTAACACTTGCGGCCCGTTTGCTAACGTTTTTGTATATAAATAAAACTACAAACAAAACTACTTACTACAAATTTATCATAATTAAATAATATTCGCGTAAAACATCCTATTAAACGTAATTGAACATCATCTGTCAAAAGTGTTTGACATTTCACGTAATTGCCACCGTCTATTGTTTTATTTAAATTACGCTTCAACAAAAATTTTCGAATCAAAAATGTAAAGTTTCTACGCGATTTTGAAATAATATCTCACCTTTTGGACAATCTCTGGTTTGGCACGAATTTTTCAAGACTAAGATTGGCCAAATCGATTCAGCCGTTTTCGAGTTTTATTCGGACATTTGAAAGAGAGCTCCATTTTTATATATAAGATTAATAATTAAGAACTATATTAAGATCATTCAAAGTCTTGTGTGTATGCTTCAAATACAATTTGTGAAACCTTGCTGAGTGTCATTGCCCTACGCTTTTCATTTTTAACTTGTTTCACAAGCGATGCCAGTGAAGAAAAAACTTGGTCCACAGACCCTTCTGGTGTATCTTTAGGTGTTTCGTGTCGCTTTTTCATCGATTCCGCCAGTCTGTTTATAGCACTAGTAAAAATATCATCGTTTGATGAGCCCTTTCTATTTTTCTTTGGCCTCATTGGTGGTTCGTTGGTATATCCAGCAGAAGTAGAAGGAGCAGATGAAAAAAACTCAAAATTTGATGCTGATGCTGCAGGTCCCTCAAATATGACACAGTCATCCTCCACACCTGCCACTACATTACATTCAAGGTACTCCTGCGTCTGAGGTGTTTCAGGTGTTTCAATGGAGCTTCTACTTATTCTCGGTGTGAGAAAACTTTCCAAGAACGATAATTGTAAAAAGTACCACAAAAAGGGTTTGTAGACCTATAAGGTATATAAGGTGCATTAGTCAGATGCTCGATATTTTATTAAAGGTAATTATTGAATTCCAAAAAAACGGGAAAAACTTACATTTCCCGCCAATCCCGCTTCTCATTGATGCTCTTATCTTATTATTCTCGAAGTTGTATTGGGTTCTCAAGGCTTTAAATTTCTTCTGGCATTCATCTCGAGTCGCTGTGGGCCGTATTCTCAGCATTTTTTCTACCACTCTGTCCAATGCTTGGCCTCTCAAATGCTTATTATGATATGCAGGCGAGTCTGTAGCGTACAGACAAGTTTCTTCACGTACTGCATCAATTAGTAATTCAATTTGATCTCTCGACCACTTGTTGGAAATCATTTTGATAATATTTGTATATTATACTCTGGACAATATTAGAATTCGATGTATTCTACACTGTACACAATGGCTAATCACAACATAACCACCGAACACTTGCCAAACCCCAAGATCACCAATCAGGTACATGTGTTGAATCACGTGGCAAAATACAGCTTTCCTATTGGACACTAGAAGTACTAGCCACCAAATAGCTAATCTGTCGCCGAATAGGACGTGCTCTATTTATTTTTTATCGGATAATTAATACTGATATAAAAATATTAAAAAGGTTCGCAAATTTTATTTTTAGCTTCCCGAAGGAGAAGTTTATGTTTTCATCAAAAAATCCAATTCGCTAATTTAACGTTTTCTCGACGTTTCAAGCCATTCTGAATCGAATGAGACCAAATTTGTAAAAAGTATGTGTGTGTGTGTGTGAACAGATTTTTTGCCGTAAATCGACGTTTTCTCAAAAACTGGTGGACCGATTTCAAAAATTCAAAAGCCATTAGATGTATCTTAATGAACATACTAAACCATTAAAGTCCTACAAAAAACTGCCTCAATTATAAAAATTATTGATTTTTCAAATTTTGCTTTTAAAAATAGTCCGACCGGGTTGACGTGTTCGATTTTCAGTAATGTGTAATAAATCCACTTCGAATACTTTTTACTACTTATAAATTAATTTATCCATCATGGATAGTTGATTATTTACACATATCGGTAACTTGCCTCAAGGCTAAATACCAATATCAACTAGTTTTTTTTTTTAAATTTGGGTATTTTTGCAAATTTCGAAATTTTTTAAATAAAACGATTTGATTTTTTTTTCAATATTTTGGAAATTTTGAAATTTTTTGATATTTCATATGAAATTACGAAAATTTGAAAAAAATGCATATTTAAATTTTTTCGGAAATTTGAATATTTTAAAATTACTGAACTGCGTTTCCTAAACTAATCATTTATTTACGCCGGCGTTCGCTATATATACACAAATATATATTTACAAAATAAAAACTAAACGCTTCCAAAATCGAAGTACATGAATCAAGTACGCATTGATATTTACGTGACAAAATACAGCTTTCCTATTGGACACTGAAGGTATCGGCCACAAGATAGTTCATCTATCGCCGAATAGGACATCATAGATAAGTAAGCATAAATAGATCGCTATCTCGAGCCATTTGACGTTACACTCATTTTAATTTACGAATAGATCACTACATGGCAGCACTTGTAGAGTATGTAAATTAACCGCTGGTTTTTTTTTTAGATATGGTTCGTATACGTAATACAGTAAAAGGAAACCCGAATAATTTCTTACGTTAAAAATGAGAACAAAGTATATGAAGTACAAAATATATTTTCAAATACATCACGGACCAATTTTTTACATAATTAAAACTGGTAGTGACATGTTATAAATGTAAAAATTATTATACATAATGAGAAGTATTTCACAAATATAAGTAATTGATAAAAAGTGCTTACATTGGAATTAATATTATACATAATAATAAGTATTTCACAATTATAAGTAACTAAGAAAAGTGCTTTCATAGCAATTAATTATTATAAATAATAAAAAGTATTTCACAATCATAAGTAACTAAGAAAAAGTGCTTTCATTGCAATTAATTATTATAAATAATAAAAAGTATTTCACAATTATAAGTAACTAAGAAAAGTGCTTTCATAGCAATTCATTATTATAAATAATAAAAAG